GAGGCTGATGAGTTTAATCGCCAACATTGCAGTTCAAATTGACCTTGTGGTCCAGTGCTTATCTTACAGCACCATACCAGGATTCCACATATTTATGTATATATATATTTATGGCGTGGCACTGTAGGATAAGGACTTGACTGCTAACCATAAGGAAAGCAGTTCAAACTCGCTAGCTGCTCCTCAGAAACCCTACAGAACTGACTTGATGACACTTAACAACAACAACATACTATCATACTTTGTATATATATGTCAATAGAGATATATATACAAACAGAGCCCTGGTGTGGTGCCATAGGATATATATACACACACACACACATATATATATACACACACACACAGAGTATATATATGTGTATCAACAAATATATACACAGTTTAACAGTAGATGGTGGTTGTGTGCCACTGAGTCATTTCAGACTCAGTGACCCTGTATAGGGTGTCCGAGCCTATAAGTGTTTACTGGATCAGAAAGCCTCAACTATCTTCTGCAGAGCAACTGGTAGATTTAAACTACTTACCTTGCAGTTAGCAGCCCAGTTTGTAATTCACTACTCTACAGCGTTCTTTTTATAACAGTATATATATGCATGCTATTGTTGTTAAGTGTTGTTGAGTCACTTCCTACTCATAATGACCCTGTATAGGGTTTCCAAGGAGTGGGTGGTGAGATTGAGCCACTGAACCTGTAGTTTAAACCCACCTTGCGGTCAAGCGCTTTATCCTACCAGGACTCTGCAGTGCCACACCAGGGCAAGGTATGTACAAGGGTGAGTCAAAATGATCTACACTCTGACTGTAGAATTTATTTTAATCAACTTTTAGAAAAGATAAATACATCATTTTTTTGATACAGTCTCCTTGCTTTTGGATACTTTGTACATCTGTCAACAAGCTTTCATATCCTGTTATTAAAAAATGTTTTAGGCTGAGCTGCGAGCCACAAATGCATCAGCCTTCACTTCTTCATCAGAGATGAATCTCCGTCCTTGAAGGGCTGTTTTCAGGGGACCAAACAAGCGAAAGTCTGATGGAGCAAGATCAGAACTATACGCAGGTGTTTAACACCTCAAAAGGAAGTTTTTGCAGAGTGTCAACAATGAGGACAGAGATGTGCAGATAGATGCGCATTGTCTTGCAAGATCACAACACCCTTGATTAGCAGTCCTCTGCATTTAATCCCAAGTTTAGGCTTCAGCTCATCAGTGAGCATCTCCCTGAAACGAGCACTGTGAATTGTTGAACCTTTTTCCTGATAGATTTGAACTACTGACCTTATAATTAGCAGCCCAGTTTGTAATCTACTACACTACCAGGGGCTCTGGTAGCATAGTGGTTACGAGTCGGGCTGCCAACCTCAAGATCAGCAGTTCGAAACTACCAGCGGTTCTGCAGGAGAAAGATGAGACGTTCTGCTCCCGTAAAGCTTTATAGCCTTTGAAACCCTGTGCAGGGTCACTATGAGTCAGAACCAACTCCACGGTACTTAACAAAAACACTACCAGGGCTCCTTTTGGTTAGCAGTCCAGTGCTTATCCTACAGTGCCATGCAACAAAAATACATATTTATATATATGTGGAGTCATCAGCCATGGACAGCAGGCATTTTATAGCCTCGGAAACCCTATATAGGGTCGCTATGAGTTGGAACTGACTCCACGGCACATAACTACAACAATATATACATACACAACACACACACACACACACACACACACAGCCCTGGTATGGCACTATAGGATAAGCACTGGACTGCTAATGACAAGGTTCGGCAGTTCAAACCTACAATCTGCTCTTGGAAACCCTACACAGGGTCACTACGAGTTGGAACTAACTCGATGACACACAACAACAAATGTAGGAGTGTGGTGGCTCCCTATGATAAGCACTGGACTGCAAACCACAAAGTTCATGGTTTAAGTCCACCAGCCGCTCCTCTGGAGAAAGATGAGGTTTTCTGTTCCTGTGGAGATTTTTTTTTTTAAATGTTAGATTGTGTCCCATAGAGATTTGAAGCCTTGGAAACAGGGTTGCTATGAGTTGGAACTAACTCAATGGCACTGAACAACTATATATATATATATATACACACACACACATATACAGTTCTGGTGTGGCACTGTAGGAAAAACACTGAACCACAAGGTCGGTTTCAACCACAAGGTTGGCCATCAAACTCACCAACTATTC